AAAAAAACTGCCGGTCCCAGGAATCGAACTTGGGTTTCATCGGCCACAACGATGTGTACTGACCACTATACTAGACCGGCTGTCTTCATGTTTTTAGCATGAATGTCCATATAGGAGTTCCTTAAAATGCTTACAATAACAATAATTATTAGATTAATGGTATTCACTTATATACTTTCAAATTATTAGCACTATTGATTCACATTATGGGTTGTCACAGCAACAAAGCCATTTGTGCTTGCGTTATCTAAGGCTCTGTCAATAGACTCTCTTTTAGAGCTACAATTCAAACATTTGTTTGTAGTTTCTAGATCATCATTAGTCACACCATAAATTATTTGTTCGATATCGCTCGGTGGAGCACTCACGTTTGAAAAATAGAAACTTTGATCGTTCTGTAGCCTGAAATCTGTCAAAGTCGTTGGCAGATCTTCGTGATCATGAGAAATGGTGTGCAGTACGTCTTTCGTGGTCTTATCTATACTGGAGCTTGTTGTAGTAGAGCTTTTTGATAATTTGCTTGGAAATAAAGAAAACCTGTTTCCCACTATCGTGCTGTTATCCGAGTTATTAGATTCGGATCTATTTAAGAATGCCAATGTTGATGATGTGGGTGTAGGATTATTATTTGCTGCTGATGCCCACATAGATGAAAATGGTAGCGATAAAACTACTAGCAAAACACTCACAGCGGACAAGACGTTTGTTTTGGCTTCACTTACACCATAGTTGATGAATACCAATATAGATGGAATGATCATTGTTTGAGTTGACATAATAAACAATATATGAAAACTATCAAATTGCTTTAACCCCAAATAACGTCTAGTTTTAATAGCAAAAAATAATTTACAAGCTAGAATACAACTCATTAAATTGATGGAGACGGAAAATAAGATGAAGGGCATATCTGTGACCCAGGATCCGACTCGCTGAGTTGTGGTAGAATGATTGAAAACGTCTCTAAACATTCTCGCACTCGACACAGTGCTATTTATGTAAAACCCAACCACCGTGAGTCCAGCAGCAGCCGATACGATCGTGAGAGCAGTCCCTAGTCGCCTTACCTCGGGAGACCTAAAAATTATAAATATTTGATATGACATTGACACTTCGATGCACGCAACCAATAATGTCTGGAACACATTCGCAGCCACGGTAACCCTGTACGACCCATACGTGTGAGGTATTAGTATCCCCGTAAACGAGAAACTTAACGACGATAATGGGCCCATGAAAAATGCTAAGTACAATGCCGAAACTATCACCATCATTAACATCGTAATCTGATTTAACACAAATATTGGAGTCCGCTTATTCTGACAACTGGCCCATAATGCCAACGAAAGCGTCAAACACGCACCAATTCCAACACTGTACACCACTATGTAATGGAATGAATTAGCAACATAATCATCAAGCACTCCAAACGTGACTACATATACATCATCAGCATTCCCCAATGGTAGCGTATAGTTCAAAGGGATCTTTTGAGGGTTGATGTTATCATAAAACGAAATGTCCATCTCTTTTTTTAAAAACCCTTTCTCGTCCCGTTACACTATATCATTTTGTCAGATTCACCTCTTATATATGTTTTGATTTGAATCCTTTTACTGCAAAAAAAAGACCCTCCTACCTTTTAAACTTTTGTAGCATGGTATTGATAATTGCCTAATCGAGCCTCACCAATGGAACCATGTGTGTTACAGTTACGATAAGCTTTCCTGCCCATCAATACTTGGTGACGCGTATAAACCTATCAACCGAACATCCAATATTCATATCCGATCGCCAAAAGTTTACTTTACTACACCTGATCCGTCAAACGCCCATTAACGTTGTAATCTCTAACGTTCATGCCCTTTACTAGGTGACCGCAGAATTCGAGCCGAATCTCCGAATTATTCGGCCTGCACATAATTATCATCACTATTTCACCGCCTTTAATTGTTGATGAAAACACCAATATATACTCCATAGATACAGAAGAGGCGTTAAAAATTGATCCATACTATTTTACGCTTACATTATAGATACGAACGATTGAATCAGAAAGAATATAGGTTCTAAGAAGAGGCTAATTACAAGAAAAACAATTGCACACTCGTCCACCATTGAACATTGAAAATCAAATACATAGTAAATATGTCCAACTCACCAGCACCAGATATGAGGGACGTATCTATGGTTGATGTATCAAATACATCGGATAGTATTACGAATGACCAGAAGCCACAAGAGGTCGAAAATGAACCGCCAGCTAGAAGAAAATCTACGATGATTTTGACAGAAGAGAACGAAGCACAGGCTGATAGGGACCAGGGGGTCAAGGCCGAGAATAATGATAACGATCAAATGCATATTGACCAGGCCGAAACTGGAGAAGCGCAAAATGCACCTGCGGGGCCGCAGGAATCGATGCCAGATCCTAATGTGACGGTGCCAATTGACATTAAATGGACCCAAGGGGGGGAAAAGGTGTACATTACAGGATCGTTCACAGGATGGAGAAAAATGATTGGGTTGGCCAAGCAAACAGATAATAGCTTTTTGATTACTTTGGGATTACCTATTGGAACTCACAGATTCAGATTTGTTATTGACAATGAGTTGAGGTTTTCTGATTTTTTGCCTACGGCGACGGATCAAATGGGGAACTTTGTAAACTACGTTGAAGTGACTCCAGAGCATGTTAATATGCATATGGAAAAGGAACAGCAAAAGCAATTAGAAGAACAAGAATTGCAACAGCAACAACAAGCAGGTCGTAAGTCATCCGTATCATCGACCCGTAGTAGATCGGACTCCATGTGGGGCTTAACTAATGACGATGATGATATGGGTAATGGTTATTCTAGATATCATGATGGTGACACAGGTTCTGGAAAAAGTGACTACGCGTTTATCTCTGACATTCCCCCAATTTTCACAGACCCTAAAGTTATGGAGCAATATTATATTGCAATTGACAAACAAGCAAAGAATCAAAATGGTCAACAACAAGCATGGTTACATCCTCCACAATTACCACCCCATTTGGAAAATGTTATTTTAAATAACTTCAATTCGATGGATAGAGATAATAATTCAGGGGCCTTACCAATTCCCAATCATGTTGTTTTGAACCACTTGGCAACCACTAGCATTAAACATAACACATTAGCCGTCGCCTCCATTGTCAGATATAAGAGAAAGTATGTCACTCAAGTTTTGTATGCACCTTTACAACAATAAATTGAATAATGAATTGCAAATTTTTCCCAGTGCATCTTTAAGGATTTATCTTAAATACCTTATAGGTTAGATCATCTGTAAAGTACATCTTTGAAATATAGTGAAATGTTCTATTTTATTGAGAGAAGTTGTATCTTGTCTAGATTTAGTTCGTTAGTGTTTAACAATCATTAATATTTCACGTTCTAAGGAAACTTGTATAGCGCTGTGGGTCTTTTGTCGCCTCAAATGATCTACTTATATGCTTTCAATAAGAGAGCCACCCATAAAGTAATCCATCACAAATAACCAAGTAGAGTTTTATCGAAACGCTTACACATATATTGTAGTATGAATCTATAATTCGAAGGGCTAACCGCTTAAATGCCGTATCAGTAATAGAGAAATAAAGGAAGTTACACCTTTGCTAATTGAAAAGCGTTTGTACCTAACTAATTTTCAATTTTTCATTCTAAACGTTACTTACTTGATTAATATATCTTATATATGTTGTTCTAATGCGTGTTAGAATAATATTATCTCATCGAGTACTTAAAATTACTATCTATCAATATTATCCTAACAAGTCATCCTCAATTTTTTACATTCTCTAAAATTTATTATAAAAATTTAACAAAGTTTCCATAACATACTTTCCTATAGTTGATTTCTTCCTTCTTTTTTCATTAATGACCCTGCGTCATAAACTCAAGGCATTTCTCGCCACCGTTAAGGCCTAAAAATGTTTCCAAGTTATTCCATGTTTCTTGGGCATGTTCTTTTGATCTTTCAAACATACGCTGTTCATAATGGGCAATGCCTTTAGAATAATTTTTATCACTCTTTTCTATGCTTTCTGCAAGTTTCCAAGCATCAAATAGTGCCAAATTAACGCCAACACCAGCGAACGGTGTCATTAAATGTGCTGCATCGCCAATTAACGTAATACCTTTCCTATGCATCCAGGTAATACCAATAGGTAACATATAAAGTGGACGCACTATTAGTTCATCTTTACTCTCTAGGACCATGGATTTAACATCGTCATGGCAATCATTAAAATACACCTCTATCAATCGTTGTCTTGCATGTTCTTTGTCAGACCAGTCAATGCCACAATTCTGAGACCATGTTTCATCCTTTCTCAAACCTACATATACTTTAACGCTATCATTACCATTTCTTTGTGCCATTACGGCCCTGTTTTCATCAAACATAGAACAAGATCCCTCTCCCACGTAGTCAGAAAGCCAAGGCGATGCAGCCCTTACATTGTTGCGAGTTAGTTCTATAAGTGTTACTGAAGAGTAATGTGGTTTTATATCTGTTACTAAGGGTCTGACTTTAGACCATGCACCATCAGCACCTACCACTATGTCGTAGCCGGCTTCAACAGTTCCATCAGAGAAATTCAAATTGTATATATCATCCACAGCTTCCACTTTTTGTAGCTTCTTGCCCCAAATAATGTGCTTCAGATCCAAAGACTTCAACATAAGATCTCTTAATGCAATTCTATCAATTTCAGGACGACTATAATTTTCGAATGACTTCTGCTGTTTCTCGTCCAATAATACTCTACCATCCCAAGAAACTAGCTTCATACAATCTCCTTCAGGCCGAGATTTCAGTTGAAACTCATTCATCAAACCAGCCTTTTCAATAGCAACTTGACCTGTTTCAGGATGCAAATCTAATGAACCTCCTTGACTTCTCTTAGTAGGGCCTGATTCTAACTCGAAAATAGTAAAGGGTATTTTTTTCAACAGTAAAAGTCTACCTAGCATAAGACCCCCTGGTCCACCGCCAATGATCGCAATCCTAGGAAGTGTCATCAATACAGTTTACCAATTCAAGAGAAAAATGGATATTATCAAAGGGTCAATGGCTCTAGTTAGGGCTTATTAATGTAGACTTGTACGGATTTAAAACGGATATAATATCTCCCTGTGTGTTGCAATAAGCCATTTTATGGTTTTGACGTTAGTCATGTGACTAAACAATTATTCCTGGAAGTAGACCCTGTCAGTCACTTCTAAGTAAAATATATATTCATCTGATTGAAGTGATATGATATAGATAACGTAGTAACATGTGACCTAAAATCACTTTTACCAGCCAAGATACAATGCTTGGCTTCAGAGTTTGAAATAGTAAAATTGCAGGGTGCATGAATTTTGGAGTACTGGGAATAAAGAACAAGGTCAAGGATACTGGCTCAAGGAATACATTGAGGTTTGGAGAATAATTGATAATGTAAGCCGGGTATAGTTTTATCTAGTAGAATTCTTTTATTCTGATTTATATCAGCCTCCTGAGAAATCTAATTCGTCAGGAAACTATACGATTGCAAATTCAGACGAGATTCTGGAATTTTTGAAAAAAGGCACAAAAACAAGCAAAGCCATTCAAATCAATACTACAACGTGAAATGGACAGAAAATACATGACAATACAAAAGACGACATAGGAAGTCTAAAAAGCCCCTACGAAGCATATCCCAGGATTACCTTATTAATATCCAAAGTGTTAAATTTGGTATCCCTAAGATGGTTTTGTGTAAGTTATTATCTGCGCTGTTACAATTTTCGTCAATTAAATTTCTATTTAATAATAGCACTATGGAGTACAAAACTAACTACTGGTTTCTATCTGCTGTACGTGGCTTAGCACGAATGATATTATCAACTCTCAACAAAACTTCAGCTGCTTCAGCAGCAGAAGAGACAACTGCTCTCTTTAACTTGTAAGATTCAATAATACCTGTTTCTCTCATGTCAGCGATAGTACCCTTATTTAAATCTAAGCCTGAAGTAGTCATACCGTTATAAATCGCAGATCTTAATTTTGAAACTAATTCAGAAGAGTCAAAACCAGCATTATCAGCCAAGATTGTTGGTAATTGTCTTAAGGCTCTGGCAAATGATTCGACAGCTAACGATTTCTTACCGGTTTCATTAGCAGCAGCTTGTTCGACTGCTTTGGACATGATCATTTCAGAACAACCACCACCTAAACAGGTTTTGGTTTCTCTAGTAGTTTGTGATAAGACGGAAAGGGCATCATGTAACGATCTTTCAGCTTCTTCTAAACCTTGCTCGGTAGAACCTCTCAAGACAATAGTACAAGCTTCACCAGCAGCAACGCCGGAAAATTTAGTCATAACATCTTCACCAATTAAAATTTCTTCAATTGTATCACAATGACCTAATGTAACTGTTTCTGGGGTATCAAAAGTGGAAACAACATCACCACCAGTGACCAAGGCTAATCTTTCAACACCATCGAAATCTGCATGTTCAATGGAATTTATCTTAGCATCAGTGAATAATTGCTCTGGGAAATCGTAGATCAATTGTCTATTAATAAAACAGTTAATATTGAACTTCTTAATCTTTTCAACTTTGGCTTTCATCTTGGCCTTTTCTGCCTTTTCTAAATCAGCTAACTTGGAAGTGGAGTCAACCTTGAATTTTGCTCCAAATATCTTGACTTTGTCGGTATCCATAGATGTGTTTGCAATTAAAATGTTAGCATTAGTAATCTTCTTAGGTTGGTTGATTCCAAATCTCTTTTCAAGAATGAAACCCTCATCCAAAAATGAATCTCTTAATCTACCACCCACCTTTTTAATCACTTTGATGTGGTTCAAGTTAGTAGAACCATTCAATCTGAGGATAGCATCCACAGCTAAAGTAGAAAAATGATCCTTGTCTTGAGCTAAAATTTTTGATGATAAAGTGGTTTTGGCAATGTTAATTAAATCCTTTCTGAATAATTCCTGATTAGAACCATTATTCACAGCTGCTTTATTTAATGCTTCTAAAGCAGTACTACACGCGATTCTGTAACCTTCAATAATCGTCTGGGGGTGAATCTTCTTTTCTATTAACTTCTCGGCTTCTTTCAATAATTCAGCACTCAAAACAGTGACAGACGTGGTTCCATCTCCGACTTCATCATCCTGAACCTTAGAAATGTTAACCAAAACCTTAGCTGCTGGATTGTCCAATGGGATGGACTTTAAGATCGTAGCACCATCATTAGTGATCATTGCTGAATCCATGTTAGATGAACTTTGCAATAATTTGTCCATACCTTTAGGTCCTAACGTAGACTTAACCAAGTCTCCGACGGCAATGGCCCCAACAAACGAAGACATACGAGCATTTTCTGCTCTTTCTTCTGTAGCTTGATCTCCTAGAATCTGAACTGACATTTGAATCAAACTATGTATTTAAAGGTGTATGTTACAAATTTATTTCCTTTAATACTGTATGATCTTCAATGCCTAAACATTTCGATGTCGAAGTATCGTGTAATTACCGCATTTTGCCATTTTTCACCTACATTTTTAGTGATTTGTACACTTAACAACACTTATGGGATGTTGGTGCTAGATTAGACTACAATACTATAGAGCAACTCTGCAATTACTGGCAGAGCATCAATATGAACTAATTACTATGTCAGATTTTAAAATATGGCTGATCTAATTGCTACAAGGCTCTTTCAATGTTGCATCCTCTATCATGTGATCAGAAGAAGGGGACGTAATAGTATTCTACTATTTCATGTTATGGTTTCAGCTGAAAGTAATGGCATAGCTAGAGTAATAAAGTTGTAGGTCACTGAAAGTACATTCAATGACAAAACCTAATAAATTGAATCAGACGGAGAATGAAAACAGTAGCATTGACCAAAATGCGAGAGATTACGAGAGGATATTTAGGGAACTAGATGTTAACAATAGTGGACAATTGACATTAGATGAATTCCGTGATAATGTGAAAGTACTTCATTATCCTGTTAGCGATAATTCCGAAATTATTGATAAGATGTTTGAGGCAATAGATACTGATAACGATAAAGTGATTGACTTTGATGATCTCAGGACGTACTTGACAGCAACGGACGATCAAATTCAAAAAGCATTCAAGAAGATAGATACTAATAATGACGGGAAGTTAAATTTCGAGGAGTTTGCGATGTATATGAATGAAACGCTAAATTTGAAAGCCTCGAAAGAAAATATGGATATGATGTTTAAGAAGATTGCGAAGAAAAATGGATCTATAGGTTACAATGAGTTCAGGAATTTTTTGTTGTTGGTACCGCGTTCAGAAGGGTCCAGACTTAAGACGGCCTTCATGTTTCTTGTTAATGGTCTTGACATTTCAGCAGATGGAGATGTCAATATGAATCAACTGGTTTTGAATGGGGCAGGGTTGTTTGTAGCTGGAGGAATATCAGGGGTAGTTTCTCGAACGTGTACTGCCCCGTTTGATAGAATTAAGACGTTCTTGATTTCCCGATCTGACTTGTCATCTCTCGTCATGCGTTCTAAAGAACAAATTAATAAGGCCATTTCAGAAGGTGCATCTCCTCGAGCTATAGAAGAAGCCAAAAAGAATCATCGTGCCGTTAAAAATGCTGCTAAGCAAGTTGCAAATCCAAAAACAATCAGGTCTCCGTTGATTCAAGCTGCGAGGACTTTGTACTTGCAAGGTGGTCTAAGATCATTTTTTGTGGGTAATGGATTGAATACTGTAAAAATTTTTCCAGAATCAGCGGTAAAGCTTGGTGTATTTGAAGCTACCAAACGATTTCTTGTTCAAATCGAAGGTGTGAGCGATGCGACTCAATTATCGAGTGTTTCTACGTACTTAGCAGGTGGTATTGGTGGGGTTAGTGGTCAGTTGACTTCCTATCCAATTGATACTCTCAAATTCAGATTACAATGTTCAAATTTAAAGTCTGATATACGAGGCAATGAACTTTTGATCCAAATAGCAAAAGAGCTATATCGAGAAGGGGGCATAAGAAGCTACTACAGAGGAATCTGGGCTGGTTTAGGAGGAATGTTTCCTTTTGCAGCCCTTGATCTAGGTACATTCACAACCATTAAGAACTGGCTCATTAAGAGAGAAAGCAAAAAGAGCGGATTAAAGGAGGAAGATGTCAAATTACCAAACTATGTGATTTTGGCGTTGGGTGCCTTCTCGGGCTCTTTTGGTGCCTCTGCAGTCTACCCTGTAAACGTAATAAGAACAAGACTTCAAGCACAAGGAACTCACGCACACCCATATACATATAATGGTTTTTTTGATGCGCTACGTCAGACAGTTGCCAGAGAGGGCCCCTCTGGATTGTATAAAGGGCTAGTGCCGAATCTCGCTAAAGTTGCCCCAGCCGTGTCGATAAGCTACTATGTTTACGAAAGGCTAAAGTTCGTATTTAAACTTGAGAAGACAGCTGCGATGTAAGTCGCTCAAGAATGCATTGATTGAACGTTAAAGCTCTGAATGGTTAAGTAATTTGAATCGGTCCCATCTTGGGCTACCATCTTTGGCTTGGTATGGTACAAATGTCACGTGATCATTTAACAGCAAATTAACGCTCATTAAAACCGCTTACTACTTAAATACTCAGTATAAGCGTATGGTTAGTTAGACTTAGTTACTTGTCGTATCATATTAACGTAAGAAAGATATAGCCAGACGCTAGACTTTCTTAAAGCACCAAAATAGCATTTACCTGTGAATATACAGATATTGGGTACTTAGTTTAAAATACACGGCGAAGACGACTTTTTCATAAATAGAGCATAGACAATGTCTACCATGACAAGTTCAACGTCAACATCCACGTCAGGAGAAGAAAAGGATACTGGAGTAAATGGGGATCACATGCATAGTAACGATTATCATAGTCTTTTCAAAAAATTAGACATTAATCGAAATGGAGAGATTACACTCCAAGATTTTAAAAAGGCATTGAAGGACTTGAAGCACCCGTTGAGTGATAGCCCCGAGATGATAAAGAAAATTTTTGATTCATTCGATTCAAATCACGACAAAGTAATTGATTTCAACGACTTTAAGTTATATTTGACTACTACTGATGATCAGATTCTTAAGGGCTTCAATAAGATAGATCAAGATAACGATGGAAAATTGAATAAGGCAGATTTTGTTCATTACTTGAAAAAGACGCTTAATTTGAGTCCGTCAGACTCAAAAATTGATTTAATTTTCAAACAGATTGATTACAAAAATGATGGCTACGTGACATACGATGAGTTTAGAGACTTTTTAGTATTGATACCAAGATTAAATGGCTCAAGAATTAAGACTGCCTACAAGTTCATCGTCGAGGAATTAGACATTTCCTCAGATGGTGATGTGACTTTAATAAACCAATTTTTGAATGGGTTCGGATTCTTCTTGGCAGGTGGGCTTTCTGGTGTTGTCTCTCGTACATGTACGGCACCATTTGATAGAATAAAGGTTTTCTTGATTGCAAGGACTGATTTAACTTCAACTGTATTGCATTCAAAATCTGAAATTGCAAGGCAAATTGCAAATGGAGCGGCATCACATGTTATTGAAGAAGCCCGTCAAAAGGTAATTGCTGCGGAAAAAGCAGCGGCTAGGCAAGCAGCAGAACATCCAAAAACAATAAGATCTCCGTTGATTCAAGCAGCAAGGACATTATGGAAACAAGGAGGTTTCAAGACATTTTATGTTGGAAATGGTTTAAACGTCTTAAAAGTTTTTCCCGAGTCAGCTATGAAGTTTGGGTCATTTGAAGCCACTAAGCGTTTCTTGTCAAGAATAGAAGGAGTTCAAGATACATCGCAATTGTCGAAAGTATCTACATATTTGGCTGGTGGTATTGGGGGTGTTTGTGGACAATTTACGGTGTATCCAATTGATACATTAAAATTTAGACTACAATGTTCAGATTTGGAATCATCAGTACGGGGAAATGCGTTATTATTTCAAACTGCTAAGGATTTATTCAAAGAGGGCGGAATTAGAATTTTTTATAGAGGTATTTTCGTTGGTGTCAGTGGTATATTTCCTTATGCAGCTTTGGACTTGGGTACATTTACAACCATAAAGAACTGGTTAGTTATACGAGAAAGTAAGAAAAAGGGAATAAAAGAAGAAGATGTTAAATTACCGAACTATATGGTATTATCTTTGGGTGCCCTTTCGGGAACATTCGGAGCAACAATGGTTTATCCAATTAATTTATTGAGAACCAGATTGCAAGCCCAAGGTACATACGCACATCCATATACATATGATGGATTCAATGACGTTTTGCGTAAGACAATTGCAAGAGAAGGTTATCCGGGTTTGTTTAAAGGTCTAGTACCTAACTTAGCGAAAGTTGCACCTGCTGTTTCCATAAGTTATTTTATGTATGAAAACTTGAAATATCTCTTGAGCTTAGATAACAGTATATAGACATCTGCATAATTACTGTATAAATGAGATTATACTATATAGTATAATTATAATGATAATAATACTTCATGCATTTACTCTTTTGCTATATTCATTGTACATATCAATACAAATAAACCCAACACTTACTTCTCCAATTGGGACAACTTTAGTTTTCCTTTTTTGCTTGTCTGCGCTCGTTGTACTCAATTTAACCCAATTTGAATGCTGACTATTAGTTTCGGAATTAAAGTTCACATTCAAATCTATGGAATCTTCTAAGTCCAATATCACTTTGAAGAAAAGATCATCCTTTTCTAGCTCATTATTTGGCGACTTCAATTCTTCAATTTGCGAGAATAGAATAGACCTAAGTTGTGAATATATTTCATCCCAGGTAAAATTTGGTACATCTATGACAGGCTCTAATAGGCTTTTAGAATCTTTTTCATCAATCAGATGTAAAAAATTTAAATCATTGACAGAGGGGGCAAGGTTAATCATTTCATTGAACTTTGCCACATATTTTTTCTTGGTCTTATTGGATTTAACATCATAAAGTAATAATAGCATTTGGTTCACTTTACCCCCATTAGTATGGCCATCTCCATTCACGAGAATCAGAAGGAATTCGTTTACCAAATCTTCGACATATTTATTTAGTGCAGGGTTTCTGGACTGATATACAATAATATCAAACGATTTTAGCTTGTCATAAATCTCCGAGGGATATATTTCATTGTAATATAGCACTTGGTTAACCCATACGATCATGAACTCCTTAAGTGTTAAAATAACATACGGAAGTGTTAGCGGCAAACTCATAAGACTTCTTAGATAAGTAGTGTTCTATTTCTTTATCGCGAGATAGACGCGTAAATAATTTTAATGTATTAGAACCAAGGTTCCAACCAGAAAATGGCAATTCAGAATATAAATGCTAGTGATATACAGAGGATTACTTCTGGCCAAGTCATTATTGATTTGGTATCGATAGTGAAAGAATTAGTTGAAAATTCAATAGACGCAAGCAGCTCCAAAATAGAGGTAATTTTTAAGAATAGCGGGCAAGATTCAATTGAGATAACCGATGATGGTATTGGTATAGAAGAAGAAGATTTCAAATCAGTTTGCTTAAAACATTGCACATCAAAGCTTTCTACTTTCGAAGAATTAAGTGAAGTTAATACTTTGGGCTTTCGAGGAGAAGCATTGAGCTCATTATGCTCGGTATCAAACTTAAAGATTACAACATGTACCAAGGAGAATTACCCTAGAGCAACAGAATTGAAGTATAATGCAATGGGTATATTGGAAAACAAAAAAACAGTCATCGGGGGTATTAAGGGAACGTCAATAATGGTATCTAACCTATTTCATAATTTACCAGTTAGACAGAAAAATTTACAAAAGAATTTGAAAAAAGAATTTAATAAGGCAGTTGGCCTTTTGATCAACTATATCATCATAAATCCATATATAAGGTTTACGGTCTACAACATTAATCCAAAGACATCTAAGAAAAACTTGATAATAGGAACAAAAGGAACAGGTAGATCTACTATTTTAGATAATGTGGTTAACATTTTTGGGAGTAATGGTGCATATGGCTTGATTCCTATAGATATATCAGTAGATGACATAGACGTCAAGTTCAAATTAAACCGTGGTGATTTTCCAACGCAGAAGAAATTAAATGTACAGTTTAAAGGATATATTTCTAACAGTTCCTTTGGATTGGGTCGGTCTTCTGGTGATAGACAATATTTATTCATAAATGGAAGACCTATAATACTTAAAAAGTTTTTGAAGACTATCAATGAAGTATACAAAAGCTTTAATCATGTACAATTTCCTGTGGTTATATTAAATTTGATTATAGATACTGAATTTTTAGATATTAATGTAACCCCAGATAAGAGAGTTATAATGATCCAGAACGAGGACTTGATCAATGATATATTAAGAAATGAGATAACCAAATTTTTGAACACTCAGAGTAATGTGATTCCTAAGAATAAGAGTTCAGGGATTAGTTTAAGCGAAGAAAATAACTCAAATACTTCGACATATGAAATTAAAGTTCCAGATAGTTCTTCTGATTTGAAAAAAGATGAAATAACGAGATATGCCATAGAACAAGATAAATTAATAGGAACAGATCAACTGGTGATCCCTGAAAATGGACTGGAGAAAGAGGAAGAGCAAGAGGAAGAGCAAGAGGAAGAGCAAGAGGAAGAGCAAGAGCAAGAGGAAGAGGAAGAGGAAGAGCAACAGGAAGAACAAGGGGAAGAACATGAGGAAGAGGAAGAGCAAGAGGAGGGGAAAGAAGAAGAAGACGAAGAAGAAGAAAACGAAGAAGAAGAAGAAGAAGAACAGGATGAGAATAAGACACTGAAAGATTTGGATGTAATAGAAATCAATGAATTCAAGAGAGATCGCAAGAGATCTTGTAATGAAATGAGGAATGACGATTTATTAGTTTCCAGACAAGGAAGAGTAAAGGAAATAGAAAATATCGATAAAACATGTAAATCTAATGAAAAAGCACTTAATAACCTTGTTGTCAATATAACTGGTCTGAACAATAAATCTAAAGGCATGAATAATAGAGGAAGTGATGAAGAAAATTTACTTCCTGAGAATATGGGTATATCGGAAATATCTAATTGCATAGGTGTCGAAAAACAGAATAGCAGTATAGAGTCTAGCGACCCAAATATTAATAGACCAGAGATGCTATCGAAGAACAATACGGATAATCAACTATTTGTTTCTGAATCGGAAGATGATACAGAGATAAAAAGAGGCAAAGTTGATTTGGCCTCTTTCAAAAATAATATTTCTGAAACAAAGAGGTTACTGCAGAAAGTAAAACCAACCGTGACGGATAATTTGAAAATATCAATAGGTGATAGAGAAATAGAAGAGAGACCCATAAAGAGAACCAAATATATGGTCTCACGAGGTGACATATCATTCAATGAAGTGCCATCTGTGAGCATTCGACAAGCATCTAAATCTTACGTGCATAATCTCTCAACTATGTTAGATGTGGACTTAGAACACATTTATGCCGAGTTCAAAAACAAGCAACTTCTAGGAGATACTCAGCTGGAGACCTCTAGAAATATTGCAATTGATAATATCGAATCTACTAAAGAAGCCGAAGAAAAGTTATCCTACACGATTCTGAAATCAGATTTCCTCGAAATGAAACTCATAGGTCAATTCAATTTAGGATTTATTTTGGTAACCTTAAATTCATCTAATAACCTATTCATTATTGACCAACATGCATCTGACGAGAAGTATAATTTCGAAAAATTGACAGAAAATACAACTTTTCAGAATCAAACTCTCGTTATTCCAAAAATCATAGAACTCAATGCCATTGACGAGATGCTTGTAATGGATAACCTCCCTGTATTTAAACAGAATGGTTTCATAATACAGGTTGAAGAGGATAATCATCCAGGGAAGCGCATCAAATTAATATCGCTACCTGTTCTGAAAAATGTTCTATTTGATATTAGCGATTTCCATGAACTCATACACCTCATCAACACGAATAATTCCACCAGCAATGATGGTCTCAAATGTTCCAAAATCAGATCATTATTGGCGATGAGGGCATGTAGAAGTAGTATAATGATTGGACAGCATTTAAACAGAAAGACAATGAAAAAAATTCTTATGAATTTAAGTAAGCTAGATAAACCTTGGAATTGTCCTCATGGGAGACCTACAATGAGACATTTAATAGAACTACAAAACTGGCCTACTTTTAATGACGATTACCAATTATAACTATATAGGTTTATTATGTACAAACAATAAATAGCAACAAAAACCCTGAGACCCAAACAAGCAAAATTCAGCATGTGACTTCAAGCTAAAGATTGTTAAATCTGGTATTAATGAATTAAAGTTGTTCTAAAGTAACTAAATATAAAGCAATACAGACATAATAGCTGAATAGGATATAGTAACAGCTGAAGGTTTTCTCGATTCCTGTGTTCTTATTAAGTTGGTCTATTATTACTACTCATATAATTGTAAGTTGTATGAATATTGATAGAACTTGAAATTATTGAAATAAGCAAAAACCAAAGTAATATATCACAATCTATTCCCTAATACAACTCGAACTAGAGCGTTATTTACTTGATTATAAGTATCTTGAGGATATTTATTTAATTATCACTATAGACTATTAATAACACCATTTCAAGTCCTACAAACTCACGTCTAGCTAGAATATGTCTCTTGCACGCCAAGGATATTCAAGAATAAAAGAAAGAAAGAGTCGAAGGACTCATAAAAACTCGAGAGATGGTATGTTTTCTGTTCTGATTAACCAATACAGACAGGTATACTAACAAATATTTAGGGTGCCCAAATTGCAAAGCAAAGAGGATAAAATGTACTGAAGAGCTTCCATCATGCCACAATTGCATGAAAAAGAATTATAGATGCGGTTATATTGACTTTCCTGAAGAGAAACTTGAACTACTTCGGAAGAAAAATGAAAAGAAGAAGGAGGAGCATAATTACATGAAAGGATTACCTAGTGGTAGTTACGATCCTTCCACACCTCAGGGCCAAAATTTGCGTCCGACTTCTTCGATAAATAGTGTGCCCAATACTGTGTCTGATACTGCCTCAAGTCTACCTACATCATTGAGCCCGAATTTTCAGCATCCTAGAAGTCGACAACAACAGCCGACCCCACATAACCAGTACCAAACCATAGAAAGGCCCTACGAACATAAAAATTTCAACACAGACGATGTAATCTGGAAGGACGAATTTTATAATAATAAAGAGTCGTTGAGAATGTCCTTATTTAAGGATACTATATTTAGACTATCTAAAGGGGAATCAGAATTCACTGCACCAACTACAACTGAAGATTCGGCTTTGAAGTTCCTTCCATCAGATTATGATCCAGATCCTAAGCATGTGAACCTTGGGGATGATTTAAAACATAATTCAGAGGAAAACTTTCCAATTGCGACGGACCAAACCCAAATTCTGTATCTAGATGATATAGGAACTAATGAGGTACTATTTAACCAAAGACTTCCTGACAGTTATGACGGACCACTTGGATTTGACTGGGAAAATACCTCAGATAAACCTCAGGGTACACATAATTCTCAGTTTGAAATATCCCAGAAGTATAATGCAAATAGGGTTAATTTCAATCCACTTCCCAATGCAATTATTAGCAACACTAGTTTCCCGAAACTTAAACAAACAAAAAGGTTGCGCAATACCTATTTGGAAAGATATTTAAATAATTCTAACAGAGATGTTAAGTCACTAATTAATTTGGAATTCAAATCTATATTCTCACCTGTTTGGACGAATGATAATGCGTATTCCTTCTGGGCTTCTGTTTACAATCAATCAGTTGTGCTTGAAGTATACTTCTCATTTTTTATGGACAGATCTTTAAATGTCCTCTTGAAAGCTTGCAATGTCACATTAAATGGGGAAATATTTTCAAATTTAGCACACAGTCCATCGTACTCGTCAATTTCAGCTTCAGATACACCCTTGTCATCACATACGTCGTCAGATGATGGGTTTTTCTTCACAAAAAAAGAGTTGGATATACTTACCCAGAAATCATATAGGTATTATGGAGCATTGATCAGAGACTTACGAGAATCATTAACTAATATACATATCGAATATCCATTGAAGATTTCTTTATTTGCTGCATGGTCAATTTTCTTCCATGTTAATGCTACCGTGGAAACTTTATGTCTCATGTACAACGGTACATCTTCATTATTACTGAAAGTTTTAAATGATTCTCATTGTCTTCAAGACATTACACCGACGATTCGGGTCACATTAGAAGTTCTTAATGGACATGCTCTGGCAGCCTTAATTCCTGATTATAATTTTGAAATCATATTGGAAATATATAGAGATTTCAAGGAATTCAAAAACTTTTTCATGGATGCTCAGGATACGTATGTTAAAAGATATGCTGAGAGTAACACAGAAGATGGGAGGAAAAAGCGGTTGACAAGTAACTTGGAAAAGCACGACTGCTTGGAATTAGAACAGTTTTTGGAACATGTTGTTAAAGAGCTTTTCCCAAAGTTAAACTACATTAATTGTTATTATAAGGCTACTAATAATGTGAAAGATTCCAACAGCAACAATATTTATTTTACTTCTGTGAGATTAATTTTCGACTTGTTAGTCTCATGGTTTAAAAACTTTCCTTCTGATGCACTTTCCATGGGCTCTAGTGCTTGCCCCGTGAAGAAGACGTTTTATTTGTTCTATTCTGTTATAGGTAGAGCTTTAGTCAATATCATTTCGCCTGTTAGAAGTGTGCTACTTGTTGATCCGTGCCATCTCTTCTGTCCAAGAGTTGACTTTGACCCAGAGATTTACAAGGTTAAGAAGATAAACATAACTACTGAAGAGTACCATTATTTGCAAGCATTATCAGAGAAAATGTTGAGGATGGTTACTTTCTTTGATTATAGAATGTTGCTTTATTCTTACTTTTTGTCAACGACCACCACTTTAAATACTGAATACGTGAAGCCATTGAATGCACCCGTTCATACAGCTAGTGACGATTACAACGATATAATTCAATTGCTTCCCAAAAAATTGGACGTTGACGAAACAATAATCGATAGTTTCACCAATATAACCCTTGATGCAAACAATTTCCCGCTTTTTGACATATTCCACAGCGACAATGAATATAGGTCAATTATACGCCAGGAAAAGCGTAACCAGCTTCTCAGACAACAACAGCTTCCGAACGAGTTTAACTACAAGACCGGTCTATTCACCCATGATTTTAACCCTCGATCGCTCTTCAACGCGCTAGAAAGAAATCAAAAAGCATACTGGAATTTAAACCAGCCAACACTCGAAGAAACAAGAATTAGAGTCCAGAACTTTGATTTCGGTAGGCAGGTCGTATCCGAAACCGTGAAAAATAATTAATTTTAAATATATAGTGTACAATATTAGATGCCTTTGGCACCTTCGCATTTTTGTATTGTAGTTACATATAAAGCTGTAATCTTTTTAATCTATCTCAGGACTAACCAATGTCGATCTCAGATTTTCATACATTCCCGATATGCTTCAATGCGGCATAAGACATGAATTAGCGCATTCGCATAAAAATATCTATCAATACAACAAACATCTAAGCCCACAAAACTTACCCCAAGTGCCCGCATATTGTGCTGAATAAATTGGCTAGATGCTCGAGTAAGACCGTCCTTCATGCACGGCACGGCACGACCCGGTCCCTTATGTAGTAGTTTTCCGTTTTCCAACTATCATGACTTGTCCTCTGCGCGCCAACAATAGAACTGGAAACAATGCTTTAAAAATAATCTAGACCTACCTCTAAAGACCATCCTTAAAATGGGCTCCTTGAGTAAGCTTCAATACTATCTTTCAGAACCTAAGCCTTCATTTCGGCCGCAATTCATGAATTGTTAACTAGGGTTATTATGGCATACAAGTGCAGAACAATGTTATATATCTGCATAGTCGGTTTTAACACATTATTGTATATGACGTTACAACGTCGTTAAAAAGCCGCGAAACGAAGGACTAAATCTTGGTGTACACTATGCAGGAAGAGAGTCTTGTAAATTTCCATAATCATATGTAACGATTATAAATGTTAATTAAAAAGGTAAATAGTCAATGGTTAGTTATTAGAATACCTAACTATAGTGGTTTCACAATTGGGTGGAAATAGGACTTTCGTTAAAAGTGTTTGGATTGTTTATTCCACAAAAATCTGCATTGAAATAAATTTACCGGTGGTGAAAATTGCACAGCACGGATTAGATTGTGAGTAGAAGTTTTATTCGGATGGAAACGAGAAATCAGCAATCAGATCCGGACATTTTAGTTCCTGGTATGAAAGATGGGTTTAATTTTAAAGACGACAATAGTACAGATAATAAAGTGTCACAAACGAAGAGTAAAGAGACTGGGGACAAAGGAGTAAGAGGTGAGAAAGGTGAAAATGAAACACAAGGAGCCAGAAGGAGGAAGCACAAAAACTCGAAAAATGGATGTTCCAACTGTAAGAAAAGACGGGTGAAATGTTCAGAAACTTTGCCAGCGTGCACTAATTGTGTTAGACGGAAAGTGAGGTGTGGATATTTGGATTATACAGAAGAGCAGCTCCAAGACCTCAGACAGTCAAAATTTGTAATGGAAAAGGTTGATAATTATAGCGGTGAACAAGGTAAAAGAGAAGGAGACTCGAGAAATTCATCTCTCAAGTCGAGTGAGGTACAACAGCCATCACCATCGTCACTTTCCATGGTTCCAAGCGGGAACGATGATCAGATCCACGATAGTAATTATAACCACAGCATTAAATGGGAAGAGAATTATGCAGGCAGCTATGATATGGGAGTGAATAATGTATTGAACTTTCAAGGTAACTTGACGTCTACTGAAGGAGATAACCTTGTGAGTTCGACTGACTATCCTGTCATATATCCGGTGTACACAATGAAAACCCCAAATATTCATGAGTCTGGAATGAATCCAAATTTGAATCACACCAACCCTTCATTCATACCTTCAAGGGATGTATTTAATAGCGGAGCATTCAGTTCTATGAAACTGCCTATTCTGTGGAATGACTCCATTATTTCACCGGTGAATTCAGACTATATGGATAACTCCAGCAGTCTGATATACAGTAATGACAAAGCATTACCAGGAGCCATTCAAAATCCCACTTCTTTCAAGAGGATATACATGCCTAATATTGATTACAATCAATTAATATATGATTTAATGGTGAAATTTGGCCCACAACTAGCATCAGGAACTTGCTCCTTAGAAGATAACATATATTTATACTCCGTTTGGTTGCATTCATTCATTTATTATTCATTTACACAAAAATTGATGTTTGGTTGCATGGTGAATTTTACTACTAACTATTTAATTTCTAATTGTTGGATGCCACAATACATCTCGGGTGGTTTCACAGCTTTAATTGATAGGACAAAGGTGAGAAATCTTTTAATTTCAAGCTCTATAAGGCATTATGCAATGGCAATTAAAGAATTACGAGTCTTCTTGAACAAAGATATTGATCCCTTGATATGTTCATCGGCCTCTTTTGTTTTAAGTTTAACATCAATTTATGATCCTTCTGCAACTTTAAGGTCTACAAACTGCTTTAGAGATGGACTTTTCAGCATCTTACAACACAATGTGGCATATGTGACCAAAAATGGCGAGCCTCTTCCTTTTATGATTATGATGCATTTGGAAATACTGAAAAACATTGTGAGATCGGTTTATTTGCCAGCATATGACCCATCTTTCTTACACGAATACCGCTCGATGTTGAATTCATTGGGAAACATCTTAAATGTTTTAAGTACCTCGTCCACGACCGCTGCCTTAGATAGTAAGGAAATTGATACTCAAAAGTTCATAGAAGCAAAATTCGCTGATTTGATTGCCTTCACAAACGAGACAATTGATGTTTTCCTCCCTAAAATTAATAATAATTTGGGAAATCTAGACATCCAACAGCAGGCCCTCTTTGATGTGTTACATAAATGGGTTCGGATATTTCCAGCGAGATCTATGTTTATTTCAACTGAAAATGATCCAGTCGAGAATATTTTGTTCTTTTTTTACAAGTGCCTCAAGAAAGCACTATATGCGGTTTTTCCTCAAGTGAAGTATTTCTTAGTCAGAGAATTTGATAGCCCAGTAACAGTAGATATCAGTGTTCCTGAGGAAGATTTCGAAATATACCTGAAAGGACTCGAAAATCCGATGGATTGCTGTTATTCTCGTCAATCATACGAACAAGTCAAAAATCAATTGAAAACTTTGGGTAGTTACGCAATTAGGGTTATCATATTTTTACAGAAAAGATTGGAAATTCTCAATAGGACCGTGATTTATGACTGGTCAGTTAAAGAATCGTTCCCTATTGATGATATAAAATCCTTTAGAGATAGTGTAACAGATATTGCGAAGTTACGTAATGATTTCAAAATGGAAGTTCAACTTCATGAATTACCAATATCTTCATTTGCAACCACATTCATTAGACCTGAACATTATCCAAGGCGCTTCCAATATGGAAATAAAGAAATAAACGATAACCAATTTAGAGAGGAAGTTGATTTACTTACTCTAACAAATAATGGTTTGTTGGCTAATGACTATAAAGCACAATAGTTGTAATATTTTTTTTCTAGGGTTGGGTTTTACATTTAATTAATTTTGTATTATAGGAATGGTTTTCAGTTAAATTTCTGATTTTAATAGTATTATTTAAGTTGCATTTATGGTTATCTCTGAAATCGTCAATATACTTTTAGTTCGGATTGAGAAATTAATCTCGGAAAGTTTGTAGTAATATTAGATCGAAGTGAATCCATATCTATAAATGAACAACCAATTGGACCAAGAGGAGGACTCAAATTTAGAGGAGTATAAGGCCTTAACTTCGACCTTACTGAGTTTTTATAATTTTAATAAATGGGAATATGAAGAATTGATAAAACCAAGAAATATTAAACAAGCATCCTTAAGTGAGCAAGAATTAGAATTAATCCCATGGTATCCTAAGCATACGAGTGATTTAGAGATGACAATTGGCATTAACGAAGAGTTCACTAAAACCTTGGCTATGAATATTGCTGCAGATTGGGGGGTTTCGTCCAACCCACAAGAGTGGGCTGCATGCTCAAATTCTGATTATGATAAAGTAAGGTCAACTTTACTACAGTTATCTCGTGAATGGAGCACTGACGGAGAAAAAGAACGTGAAATTACATTTGGGCGTATAATAAAGGAATTAAATTATAGATACCCTAATGAAAAGGAAAGACAGAATATCAAGATTTTGGTACCTGGTTGTGGCTTGGGAAGATTAGTCTTAGATCTTGTAAAAGAGGGTTTTTGGTGCCAAGGGAATGAATTTAGCTATCATATGCTTCTCACATCAAACTTTATGCTAAACCACTGTAAATATGCTAATAACTATTCAATATTTCCTTTCGTGCATAAGCAATCACACGTCATTAAACGTTTAAACCAACTACGCCCAATAACAATACCTGATGTGAATCCTTTATCTATCCACGAGCTAGCTGCAAAAAATCCTGATATACCTTATGGAGACTTAATGTCCATGACTGCAGGATCATTTGTTGACTTATACGGGCCGCCAAACTTGATGTACTCCGAAACATATACAAGTGACCCTGTAGCTAATCAATTTCGTAATGAAAACTTCGAACGATTCGATGTAGTCTCAACTTGCTTTTTCCTTGACACAGCTTCCAACATAATTGACTACCTAAAGGCTATATTTCACTGTTTAAAACCAGGTGGTACATGGATTAACTTCGGGCCACTTTTATGGCATTTCGAGGATGACGCGCAAACTCACTTTGTCACTAAGCAATTGAGTAAAGGTGGTCCTCTACAATCAATTCCGACTATTATGAAAGGTTTAGAGCTTACACGAGAGGATCTAGTAGAGTTGATAAAGAAAATAGGCTTTATCTTCGAAAAGCATGAAAGTGATA